CTTCTCTGGGGTAGTGGATTTTGCAAAAAGTTTAAAGCGGATAACACAGGGAAATTCACAGAATTTTTACCCGTTGGTTATAAATGAAAGAATAGAATCTGATACTTTAATCGGTTGTAATGAACTTGTTTGTAAGAAACTTCTGGATATAATGAACTAAATAACGATAACTAAATTTCAACTTCTTATTTATATATTCGTAGTGCTCTCCTGATGAAGCCAAGAAGGTTAGCGTTAATAAAGTAACATCAGCCCATCGTTTTGTTCACAAGAATTTACCTACCGACACCCTCAATTTAATTATCTTTAATTTAACTAGTACGGTAGTCACTAAGACCAACCTTATTTATGAATTAAATACTAAATAACTATTTACTGTGAATTTTAAATTTTAATGGGCTTTTTCGAACTAACACTTGCTGCATAATACCTTCAATGATTATGCGAAAATAGGTTTTTGCGATCATATGGAGTACATTCCTATCTAAAAGGATTGGAGATACCGAGGTACAATTCGAAGCATATGCCAATGCAGACCAACTTAAATACTAACTGCAATATCAGAACAATCCGCTTGTCCTAATTATATAATATTCTTGCAAATTTTAAACATTTCTTTTTTTTGTTTTGATAATAACGCTTCTAACGAACATCGGTTGTAGTGAACTAATAATTCTATGTAGTTCTTTCGTACTCATTATAACCGAGATTGACAAATAATAGATCATGTAGCAAATAAAGAATATGACGTATATACCTGGTCTGATGTGAACATCACCAACTGTCCTTTTATTGAAGCAATTCCTTTTTCTTTGTATTGAGGAAACATTTTGTGGCGGGCAGCCAGAAACGCGTACAAGTTGGATATAGAACCCCCTAAAATAGTTTTCTTGGTTAGACTTGGTTGTCTCAATAATATTGTAATCCTCGGATAACTCTGCAGGATCAAGCTTTATGAAGAAAATCTGTCATTTGGATAGAATGTTAAGCAAAGGACTTGATGGTCATTTTAAATTTGACGATGGTTGTCACTTTAATTGCCTTTTTGCTTGAAAAATTTACATTGAATCTCAATTTGAAATGAGAGAATATTTAGATACGCATTTTTAATTTAATATTCGTGCAGGTAATTTAAGGACAGGTAAAAATGACTTTCTAAACGTATTCCCTTTTTCTCCTTCCACAAATGCAAGGCGATGAAGTTTTTGAAAATTTCTGAAAACATTTGACATCTAATTCTAGAAATACTAAAGACCCTGATAGTGAGATTTAACATTGATTTAATCTCCTTGACCTTTCAACTCCTTGTATGATTTTTTTTGTAAGATATGTAAATCATTCCGCACTTTCTGATTTAAAAAACAAGCAATTGAGTTTTCATTAAAATTTTTTAAGTTGACCTGTAAATAATCTTTAAAGCTGCAACTAACGGTAATTTAAGAACCATCCGAATATTCGTTATACAATGAATAGGTACTTATCCTACACATAACTTTTCTGTAAAGTTCGATTTTTCAGAGTTATCTAAGGATTTCAGTATCTTTAAGATTGTATTTTTGTATTTGCACCATCGGCTCGAGTAGCAATTCACATGCAGTCTAAAAAAACCCTGTTTCTTCCCTCGATACGTAATGTACTATTTTAATAACAAGGGCTACTAAACTTTTAAAGCATGCCGTTTTGTTTTGTTAAGCAGTTTTCAAATAATAAGGCAATATGCTAAATGTGGTTTAAAAATTTTAATATGTTTTATGACCTGGTGCCAAGATGGAGTCTCCATTTCTCCAACCTGCGCCAATTATCTCTCTCATATGAGTCATAACGACGTTTTCCATCAAAATGAAAACGGGTGCTATTTCGTAGGTGAACATATTCGTGTTAGCGGTGGCTGTCAACCATTCGCCTGCCATCGACATCAAATCTAAACCGCAAGAAAGCTGATTCATAAAACGGGGATGCCCTGAAAAGGAACGAAACGTTAGGTTTGTCTAATTGTTACTTAACTAAACAAGTTTATGATTATTGTGGCGATTCATATCGTTTTATTTGTTATAATGTATAGCCATGTAATTTTAAATTTATTTACATCGCTCTTATGGTACTAGATGTTTCAGCAATTTACGCTTGTGTGTATAAATAAATGTCTATGGCCTAGTTGGTCGTACTGTGTCGCGATTTTACTGAGTCGGCACAAATGAAGCACTTCAATTGTTACACATTTGAATTGTTTTTTATATATCGAGTATTCCCACAAAGATATGGTTACCTATTCACTTAAGAACCCACGGCCGTCTTTAACCTATTGGAGGCCCTGGGCACATTTGCTTACCGGGCCCCCTACAGCTTTGACAGAGAATTATTTTGGTTTGTTATTTGTTTCTTCACTTTCACATAAATGAATAGACAATTGTAGTATGACTCGAAAAAGTAACTCTAACATCATTCTCACGTTGGTACCTAAAATTGTGTTTTTTGAAAAGGCACCCTTCTAGTTTTCAGATATGCAAAATCGTCAACCAGTTGTTCAAACTCTTTGTCTTTGAGCATATCCTATTCTATGGACTGATCAATCTTTCTTGAAGCATTGTTCGGCTTAACTTATTTTTTATTCTTTTCCGTTTAAAGAAGACGCGTTCGCCACTACAGTTAGTTAACATTATGCAATTTCTACATTTGGAAATGTGTCTCCAACTCGGCTTTTTATCAAAACTTCTGGAATACTATTAGTTTGCCAAATACAGACATTCTATTTCTAACTCTTTCTCGTTAACATATTCATACCAGCAAATTTTTTGGGATTTGGAGTTTTCAAGCGAAAAACGATGTCAGCAATAACCAATGTCCTTGTACAAACTCAATCGCTGTTTTAGATGCACGCTTGGGATGTCACTTATGGGAAGTAAGGTATTTCTACTTTAATATCTCTTTCCAACTCTGTTAGACTATCGGTGCAGAGTCATCAAAAGATGTCTGGCGCGAACTTCTAAGTCTTATTCTTTGAGACAAGTCCTTGTAGTCAGATTCTGTATTTTCCTCTTTGGGGAGCGATTCGAAGTAATAAAATTTCAGAATATATAAATGTTTGAAGAATCAGCTACATTTAGGTATGCTCGCGTTTATAGCATGCAAAAGCGATTATGCAAGTAAATATTCTAACAGCAATTATTGATTAATTTTCTTAAATAATTATCGGCTTTTGGTTGGCGGATGGATCTAGCAGGAACTATATAGGGGGCCTCAGTTGATCGTGGGGCCCTGGGCACTTGCCCAGAGTGCCCATTGGAAAAGGGGGACCTGTAAGAACCTGCTGATTATGTGGAGTTTATCGAATATATCGGTCATTTTCATTACCCATTTCTCGTCATGCAATATAATTTGGCATGACCTACGGATGTGAAAGACCTAAAAATTGGTTGCTCAATTCGTGTGTAGAAGGGGTGATTTACGCTGACTTGCTGTATCTTCACACGCTTTTTTAAAAAGCTTGACTGTAATGCGTCTGTTACTAATGACATTCAATAGCTACATTTAAAAATTGCGGTAAATATCTAAATAAATAAACGAGTCACACTGCTTTGTATTCGCGCATATAATAATGATTATAAATAAAAGTAGAAAATAGGAAAGAACTAATGAAAAATTGTATCCAATTTATTGTATCAACGTAAGACCGTAAGTCCGAATGTCCTATCTTCTCATTTGGCATCTAAGTATTTTTCTTTCATAAAAATAGCGGTACTCGTCCATATCATAAAATGAACCGTTAGAGTTTGGCCTTTTATTACTGGTTTGGTCATAAAAAATATGCTATTGTTACGGTTAAATACAGAATGTTTACGTTTCCCAGAATTTTGTATATTTTTATTGGGATATAAAAAGGTCGTATCTCGCGGAACTCCTGTNTGTAACTACAAATCTACGGTTTTTGGGTTTTTCTCTTTACTTGTGCTATAATACATTACTTTTCTTGTCAAATGTTAAAATTTTATGCCAACGAGAAGGACCTTATAGGCCTTGGTTTGCTTACGAACGTCAAAATATGCGGCATAAACGGCTGTATCTTCTGATTGCGTTAGAAGTTTGATTTTTTAAGATCCCCAATTGATTGCAGACCCAAACATTTGATATAAATCTTAAATTGATACCTACATGCATTCCTGAGGAAAAGGGTCTTGACAGACCTGTAGACGGACAATGAGTGATTCAATAAAGGTTTCTATTTTCCTTTTGAGATAAGGAACCCTAAAAAAAACTGGAAAATACGCTTGTGTAACAAAAGCGATGGGTTAGATTGTCAAATTCGCAGCTCCAAATGTCAAAATCACGTTGTCTAAAATTTTTTAACTAAAGAGGTGATTTTTTAGCTATAGTTTAATTAAAAGAAGTCATACTTTCTAAAAATCTAAGTTCCACGAAGAACGTAAACTGATTACTAATTGTAATGCTAAATTTTTTAATGAATATTGTCCATTTTTCTTATAGGACACTTATTTTATTGTATGTTCACCTTGAAAAAAACCCTTGTCTGGAGGCGATTGTTTTTTTAACAACAAATCGTTTACAACCTTATTTTGACTCACATTTTTACTTGTTGGAATCTGTTTAATCATGATATTTAAATGATTTTAATTGATAAAAACTTTCTTTCCGAGGTTCGTGTACGATTTTTACTATAGGTACCCCGAAAGTACGATTTTCCCGATTTTAGGGACGAAAAAATGCAACTAGGTTCCTAAGTAAAAAATCACACTTTCTACTTATTAGAAAAGTACTTAAAAATTCATTCCTAATAAGGAGTAACTACGATTTCTTACCCGGAAGGGAATGTTTCTTCACAGAAATAATGGAAAAATGTCATACTTTCGGTTGGAATATTCTAAAAATCTTCTTTTTCAATTTTCGTAGTAGGCGGAAGTGGTGAGAATTAACTTCATAATATAAAAAGTTTATATACGAAAAACTGCTTCTTCATTCCGTGGCATTCGACGCTTCGTTTTCCCCTATAGACTGGTACGACAAAGATACCACTTCCTCTGACAGAAAAACTTATTTCCGGTTACAAATGTCCCTATGATGTACTGGATTCAAAAGGATAAGTTCGACGTCGGTGGTTATACATATATATATATATATGTATCTTGCGTCGTGTAGCGTCGTTTGCTGTCAGTTCTTCTCAGCTGGCATCCACAGTTGTAAAAGCCATAATTCGGCACAATCAGGGTAGTTTTGAGGCGCGTGAGGGGTGATAATAAATACACAATAAGCTGAAGTTGCGGCACGCGTCTCTCGGGGAATTCGATATTGTCGATGGACGTTGGTGGTTACTGTGGGCTGTGGGGATTATTTAGATGCCAAACATTCACCCTCAATCTATCTTTTCTTGATGAGATCATATTGTTTGCTTTATGTCGACAACAGTATCTTATCAGCTTGTATTTTCGGCAAAGGCAGCTCTCCTTGATAACAAACATTTCATTTTTTGAAATATATCTATACTGTACCTCGACCGGAATTATGAAAAAGACAATAATTTATGGTTGTGTTTAATAAATATTCTAATAACTGTTTCGGTATTAAACTTTCAAACGTAATTTTATAACTATGATTAAAACAAAAAAAGGTACTGCCGAAACCCGGGATTGAACCGGGGACCTTTAGATCTTCAGTCTAACGCTCTCCCAACTGAGCTATTTCGGCGATGAGTATACGCTCAATAAGTTGTACATTTGTACTCTGGCGACTTGAATATTTGTTCTGTGATATTATGGTTTATTAATGATTTGATAATACAAAAATTTTATTAGATTCAAAATTGTCTGAGCATGATTTTTATAGTTTTTTAGACGCACTTTCGGTATTGAACTTACCAAAAAATTAGAAAATTCCCGGGGATTCCCGGAAACTCGAAACATTTTAAAAATTTTATGGTGCCTTCAAAATACAATGTACGTTAATAATAATCAGTAGCATTTATTATGTTTATCATTTAGGGAAAATAAAAAAAAAACGTTCTCGTATACCTAAACTAGATACCCTAATCAATGCAAAATGGCTTTAGATTTTTGTAAATCAACAATTTTAAAATCCAACTATCTTTTAATATAATATAGTAATACCTAGGTACTGGAGCCATGCAATCTTTTAAATATAACAGAGGAAAATAAAATTAGGAAAAGAAAATCAATATCAATTGGATTATGATTATGGATGCAATTATTTTTACAGGTCTGAACCCGCCCTTTTTATTTATAAAACATTCTTTCAAAAAAATAGAAGCATTTATTGCAGCATTTTGACAAGATGTTTCCACTTTTTTTTGCTTCGATTTTTACCAAACTACTCAGTTTTCGAATTTTGTTTTTATTCTTGCAGTTTTGTGTTCTCGACCTCTTTTTTTCTCTAGTAAGATCAAATTCCAGCTTGAAGAATTCTCGTACAGCTACTACCTATTATGCTTATTTACCTAATTTAAATTGAATGGAATGATATTTTTTTATCTTATACCGTAAGTGAAGAAAATCAGTTTCGTCTAGCATTTCAATAATTTTTTTTCCACTCAGCTAATGTGTTTTGTAATTTTTAGTTAGCTGCAAAAGTTTCTTTACTGATAAGGTATTGTTTCGTCTGAGTGAGTTACTTTACGTAGTATGAGATAATTATTTCGAAAATTAGTTGTTTTTTATTGCTTTAATCAATAAATGTTGAATAATTTTTAAACTGTCACGTAACGACGTAAATTCTATAATGTTAATCAATCACGATCTTGTACAGTGTACAATACCTAGACATGATAAAATTACTTAATGAATCTAATAAACTTCATAAAAGAGGAAAAGCACTACGTATTTTCCTTCTTCCTTCTAATTCTTGTCTGAATTTTTAAAAAAGAGTGAAGCACAGGTGTCTATGAGTTTTTGAAGAAGAGTCTATAGGTATCAATTTTCAATATTGAAACAATTCGATTTTTGCTAATTAAAACATTTACGAATAATACGCTCATTTGTCCCTCTCTTATGGACGAAAGATTTTTCAAAATCCCTTCTTTCAGTGACTAACTTCACTATTAAAAAATGTACTACTCTTTTATTTTGGTTTACAGGACCGTCTCTAGAGTTAAGACAGCCCCCGGCAAACTCTTAAATAGCCGCCCTTAAAAATATTGGCTGTCGTATATTGTACAGATATAAAACATTTATCTTTGGAAATTTTTATGTATGCAAATGTAAATTAAAATAAAAAGTTGCTCACATTGACCATCGAAGGTATTAGAACTTTAAAAAGGGGGCAGAGACATTTTATGATTACATTCCAATTGTTTAACTGAAGACAGCCCAAAAAATTCTATACTCCTTCGAAATAGATAATCTAAAATATTGCATCGGTATTATTTTCCGGGTTTAATGTCATGGTCCATGGAATTTTTAGGTTCCAAATTGATATCAACACCTGTCAAATTAGGAAGGAATTACGAAATTCTATGAATTACGACAAAACAGCCCGCAAAACAATATGGAATTGATATATGCTAGCTGTGTAAAACTGAAAACTACAAGATATTGTGGTGTGCTAATAAACGCCTATAATCCAAAATTTTTAGAAAATGATTCGAAAAGCTTCCCTTATTAGATGAACCCAAAGCTAAAGAAACTATGGATTCCATTTCTTTCTCTTATTACAATGTGTAAACGATGAGAAACAAAATAGGGTTGTAAATATTTTGATATAAAATGATTGATGTTGATTTTACATTTTACAATAAAATTATTTGCAACCCTATTTCGGCTCTGATCTTGAGCAAACTATTTTGGCGTCAGTGTCTTTTTTCTAATTAAAACGGGCAATAAAGGTAAATAAGCAACCATATAGAAGAATTATTTGTTCCTGAACTGAAGAAACTGTAACACAAAGATAGAAAAACTATATCTAAATCACTTCAGAAAGAAAAATATGAACTATACCAAATCTTAGCAACTGGTGATATAGTGCAAACACCACTATGAGTCTAGAAAACCGCAATATTTAAAAAATAAGCAAATGCCTGCAAGGTTTTCTTAAAAAATATTTTATACTTAGGCAGAAAATTAAATAGGTACTATAACAAATACAGAAAAAAGCATTTTAAAAATATGTATTTTGCATTTAGCATTTTAAATACAAATCTATTTTGTATTTTACATTTGAAAGAACAAATCAAAGTATTTAAATACTTTTAAAAAATAATTTTGCACATCTCTATCAGTAGGTACACCCCTGATTAAAAGTACCTATACGTAATGGTAAATTACGTTTGACCAGCAGGCCAGTATCATATATAAAAACGCAAAATCTCGGTGCCGTTTTTGTCGATACTGATTGTTGCTAATGATAAAACCCTTTGTTGCTTTTTAAGATTAGATACGTCAGTCCCCCAAAAATTTCTCGTCAAATCCTAGAGTGCTACCGCAGCTGCTTTAAAACTAAATCAGGGGGGAAAGCCGGACCATAAACGTCAGACCAGATTTTCCTCCTTTCTGTGGATGAACTCCGTCGGGTCTCAGGTTCATAGCCCGGAGCAGGATTAATCGTAAGCCATGTAAGCTTCGATATATTCTGATGGAGGACCCTCTTCCTCGTCGGACCCGTCGCGACGCTGTCTCTCCTGTATCGCTCTTTTATGTCCCCGAATGTTCTCCTTTTCTTCCACGACATGCCGTAATACTTCCCGTCACAAATGGCACACAACACAAACAGATGCTACTGACGGCCCGAGTCGATGCGCCTTTTGTGTCTGCCAACGGAAGCAGCAAATGTGCCAGAAATTACTTTTTCAAATACGCATCGTACACATACGCGACTAACGTTGAAATAACTCGGGGAAAATTGTTATCTGAGTGGCAGGGGTGCGTCTTGGTTCTGCTATGTTCTTTTAATGAAAAAGCTAAACAGCTCGCTAATTACGACTTGTCTACCTTTTTCTCATAATTTAAAAGTGTATTAATTAGTTGTAATCATAGCAGCGGTTGAGATACGAGAGACGTAAAATACTTGGATTATTTAACAAATTGAAGAGAAATTTTAAAAATATGGGTGCGAAACATGGAAAGTGGGAGCGGCGGAAAAGAAAAGGTTAGAAGCGTTCGAAATGTGGTGTTATAGGCGGATGATGAGGATATCGTGGGTAGA